TTAGGTCCACTCTCTAATAAAGAATTCTGAAACTAATACCTGGTTTTCATAACAAAATGATTTCCTTGCTTCATCCCTTAGTTGTTTAACAAACATTTTCAGAGCAACATAAATTGCTGTACCACTAGCTTTGTTTAGCAATAAAAGGTTATACAGAAACCAGCAGTGTTTTACAAACCCCCTTCAGCACCTAGAGCCCACACATACCAGCTTCTACTCCCCCACCCCAAAATAAGATATAAACATGAACGCATCGATATTACACAACACGTCAAGGCATATACTTGTGTATGCATGTATATGTGTACATGTGATCTCAGGAAGTTGTATTATGCACATGGCAAGACAGCCTCCCTGTTTTTGATGTCAACAGTACTACAGCACTGGGCTCCCGAGGTCTGGATAAATGCAACCACTCTGACATCTGATCAAATTCACCAACAGGAAATTCTATCTATAGAGACCTGAATTTTAAAACCTCTACAATCTCTTAATGTTATATATAATGTTTATGTTATATAAGCTGAAATATTTTACCTTAGCCCTAGAATCAGTTAGATAACAGGTGTTTAGCAACTTGAAGTCAAAGTCCTGTTTTGATTTTATTCATAGAAAAAATGAACCAAATCCTTCAACAGAAACATAATAATAGTTCACAACTAAAAGCAGTAATTGATTCACTTTTTAAAGCAACTCTAAATTAGGCTTAAAGAATAAACCAATGCCTCTAACTCTATAGTACTTCAAACTCATGCTGCAGTACAAATAAAGAAATAAACATTTTACCACGGCCTGAAGTTCTTATTTTACTTAACACTCAGCTCTTTTTTAGCAGCCAATGCATGAGATTAAATAGTTACTTTGTTATACAGACTGAAGGAACTCTGTCTTAATGAATAAGTTACATAGGCTTAGAGAAAATTATCAAGTACAAACTGTACTACTTAAGAAAAATTAAGTCTAACTGAAGGTACCATGATAAACAGTTCTGGTTTCAGGGACTACAAAGAAAGACTGGTCATTACAGGAAGTTGTATTAATGCTGACAAAGTTAAAGTGTTTATAGAAACTATGAAGCTCTAGAGTGTTCCTTCCAGTGGAACACTCTATATAACCAGTTCTATAAAATTTTGCTTACATTTCTGTACAAATAACTATAATTGGCAGTGATTCCTAGTCATTTTGTTAGTTTTGCTACAGAGTTCCAGTTGTACCGTTTCCCAGCCAACCCTGGACCCCCATTTCTTTAGTCATCTAACTTAACCAAATTCCCTATTGTCACATAAGAGGTTTTTCTAAAGAGAGGGTGTCTCGTTAGTGTAATGAGAGGCTATATATAGTGAATGTACAGCCAAAGCAGAGCATTACAAACATTGAATCTACTACTAAAAGAGACCACTTCTTGGGATTTTTATCCTCAGTGTGCTAGTTTATAAAAACTAGAATGGCACCTTAATATATTAGATTCTTTTTCCACAGTAAGCTATTTAGCTGAGCCATAATGAAACTAACCAGAAAAGGAAATGTTTGCCTTTGAGAACTTGGGGAAAAAAACTTTCATGTTTGCACCGAAGTTATTACTAACAAACGAATGGCCTGCTAAAAACCTAAGCTGTGATATCACTACCCTATCCCTTGTCCCAAAAACTGATTACAGGGCCGTCGCTCATCTTAAACAAAAAAGGCATAGAGAGGCTTAAAAAAACTCTCTCCATTTTCTTGCCCTTCAATTTGCATTAATAAGTTTAATAATTAATTCAATTTGCATTAAGTTTAATCATTAGTTAAAACAAAAATGGTTCATTTTATCTAACTCCTATTTCCCCCGATGTTTACTTTTTCTATCAAAGAGTCAAGAATATACATTGTTAAAGAAAATGAAAAAAAATTATGATTCTGTAATACAAGCATGTCCCACCTCCTGGAAAATTAACAAACTAGCATAGAGAAATAATCTATATTTCCTGGAAGGAACTTAATGTGGGATTTTTTTTTCTAGAAGAAACTTATAATTCAGAATGTTTAAAAAATGAGGAAATAAAATAAGTGTCAGGCCCCATGCTAGTGAGAGAAAAAAAACAAGAAAGACACACCAAAGGAGCTTCTACTTCAGTGGGAGACCCAAACGCGACTGCAAATAATTCGAACACAGGCAAGTAGATGAGCGTTAGAAAACAAGCAAACCGTGGAGAGCACACGGAAGAAAAGGCAGAGAGGCATTCCAGCCAGGATGACTGCGGAAAGCTTCGACCCTAGGGCACGGTTCCTCACTGTGGCCAAGGAACGAATTCATCCAAAACACCTATGGCTGTGGCTAAAAATTCAGATCACTGCGTCCCATCTCAGATTCCTGAATCAGATCCTCTTGTGAAGTCTCAGAATGTTTTTTTGTTTTGTATCTAACAAGCATTCCAGTGAATCTGATGCAAGGGGTCCATGAGCTACATTGCCTCACTAAAACCTGATTACCACTGTTCTAAGTGAGTGGTAGGACCTAATGAACGGACACACCCTGGACACACACTGACGGGAGGGATTCAGTGAAGACAGCCATGGAAATGGAACATCAGGGTCTGTGGGAATTGAGGAGTTACACGGTACATGCAGTGGTCAAATGAAACATATTGTTGGCATCACACGAAGGTGAGCTAGCTAGTCCTGACTCACATAAAGAGGTTGAACTATGTTCTGCAGGCAATGGCAAATGAGCAAAGCTTTCTGTGCAAACTCATGTTAATTTGACCAAGATTACCTGGGATTATAAGCAACAGGTACCAGAATAATGGAAAGGAGAAAATGGAAGCAATAGACTTTGCAGGAGTAGAAAAGACAGGACTTGGGGATCTGCTGTATACAGACAAGTGAAGGAACTGAAGATGACTTTGAGAAAAATTTTAAATGAGTCAAGTGCCTTCTCAGTCCACCATTACACGCCAAGTACCACACCACATCCAAAAGTATGAGAGCCATTAATTCGATGTAATAATTCAGCACCTACGATACGTGCCAGGTGTCATTAATAATGCTGCAGATACACACAGGAAAAAAATGCTTTTTTTCCAAGAATTTAAAATTAGATCTTGCCCTGTTCCTCTTTTCTTGTGTCCCTACTTTGTATCAAGAAAAAGTATGTCTGGAACTTGTCTCTCCCTGCCTGTGACGCCTTCTTTGCTCTCACAGCATTAGCTGGCTCAAGTCAAGAACATGCAAAGTCCTCATCCTGAGTGGTTTTCCCTACTTGTTCTTAATGGTAAGTAAACATTTAGGAATGCTTTCTCCACAATGACAAGACAGTCTTGACATGAGGCTCTTAGACATGAAGGTCCAAACTGAAGAAGTGTCAGTGAAGTCCACCCTCAACTGAATGGACTTATGGAACTTTCCTACAGAGAACTTTAGAGTACAGTCATTTATTCATTCAGCCTTATGTACTATATGCTGTTACAGATGAATGTTTCTTCTCTGACCTGGAAGGATATCATCCTGAGAACACTTAGAGTGGAAAGTGTGGTTTGTTGAGAAAACGAACTAAGAAGAAAAGAGAATAAGCAGCACTTAAAAACAGGAGAGAGGGTGAAGGGAGACAAGGGTTGTGTGGAGGAATTTATGCAAGACTACCAAGAATAACATAACAAATACTGACCAAAGGACAAAAATTAACCATAAGTCTGAGGTTTGGATGGCAGTCACTTATCAAGTTAAATTAATAATTTTCAACACATACTACTGCCAGCTACTCAATCACAATAATAACGTGAGAAAGTCTCTGCCTTTCATTAAGGGACAAATTACTTGATAAGATACATACACCAAAGAAAACTATACAAAACAGCACATAATCAAGTACTAGGCTGTATGACGTGCAGGAGAGCCATAATTCAGAGAAAGAAAAGATTCAGGTATCAGTTTTAGAAAAAGCTATCAAACACCTTTCTAGAACTTTTAATAGCCAAGACTGTTGAGTACAAACGGTAATAGCAAAGACTGCTGGCTGTACCTCATTTTGTAGCCACACTCCAAAATGTGGATCATTTTAATGCCAGTGACATCATCAAACAACTTTCTAAGCAGTTTCATTTTTAACTGTCACTTTATTTTGACTATATTACAGTGAAACACTTTAGATCTAAACTACCTCCAAATTGCATACAGTCTAGATTGCTATCATTCCTGGGATCTTTCCAGTCTTTGGCAAATAAAACCTAGCATACAATCCAAGCATTCACAATTAAATTACAAAGCACTTGATTTTAAAAAAAATCTATTTCAATTATCTTTGGATTTTTAACCTAGATTGAATCCTTTCTCTTCCACCCTCCCTTCAAAGATTTGTAACAGCTACAATGTTTTATGGGTACTCTTGTTTAAGACGAAGTAGAAAAAATATATATATAATAAATTCTAGGTGTTTCCCATGTGAAAACAGAGATCCAAAAAATAACGAAGGTTTTTTTGTTGTTGCTTAAGAAGGAACATTTTGTTAAATGTGCTTAAAAGCCTTAAAAAAAAAAAAAAAAGCAAAAACAGAATGCAAATATATAAAAAGCACAATGACAAACATTAAGGACTTTAATCTCTCTCTACATTAATATGCATCATAAAATGAGTACCTCTAAAGACTAAACAGCACATGTGAATCTAGTTCAGTTATTAACTCTTAGTTCAAGAGTAAAAGGTCGATTTTTTAAAGAATAAATATTATTGCTGTAATTGGGAGGAAATTCCTTTCAAAAGTACAAAATTAGAAGTACCTACAAAAATCATTATGATCTTACTTTCAAAAAGGAAAATGACCAATTAAATGTAATAGCTTCAAATCTATAGGGTTTACCTCATTTTTATCTTCTTTAGTAAAAAGCTCATCTACATAGCTATCTTAATTTCTAAGACTACAGTTCTGCACAGATATATTATATTGTGGAAGTCAGTGAAAAGGGTGTGCTAGACTCAGATATTAATAAATATCATTAAACTAAAATATTTCAAAAGAAATCTCTTACCAGCTGAAATTCTCGACGCCGGTCATAGGCATTCTGTATGCCGCTGTCTGCCCATAACGCTCTTATAGCCGGAAGATATTGTAAAAAAACTCGAGTTTCCACCATTCCCTGTGCCGCCAGGGTGGACCGGGTGTCAAATGACATCATTTTGTCTCCGTTGAGCTGGTTTGAGTTATCTCCCCAAGGAATATGAAGCTTCTCTCGAGCATCTACCAGCACCCTCATACCTTTGTTAAAAAAAATAAAAAGTGACAGGAGTCATTAGTCTCACAGATTCTATTCCAATATTATTTTCCTAAACTTCTTAATTATTCCAGGTCCACCCGCTCCAAAAATGGAAACCAACATCAAAACAGACACCTGTAACTTCTCAGAGCTTAAAAAACTAAATTATTCAGTTATGTAAAAATTTATAAAATAACTTCAGAGTAGAAAGTATTCACAAGAGAACCAAAACTAGTGAAAAGAAATTATGCTGCAGAGCCTGATGTTCAGGCTCTGAAGAAAATGGCTGCAACCAACATTTTCTGAGACCCCCCCAAAAGACATTTATTTATGAAATACCAAGAACCAAACATTATTGCTGTGTTCTATTTGGTCCCTGCGCTCCCTGCTTATTTAATCCAACACATTGGAGTCGTCTAGGAACACATTCAAAACTCAAAAACCTGTCTCATACCAAGTTTCAAATAAGTGTAAGTCACAAGATGGCCTTAGGTTTCCCTAAAAGGGTAGAGGACCAAATGCGAAAAATACATAAAAACATTTCAACTCATAGAGATTAGTTCAAAAGAGTATTTCTATTACTAAACTGTTACTTTTGGTCCATAACAGTCACATAACTATCAAGAAGTCATTTAGATAACTGAAAAACTTTTGCTGTTAATTTTCTGATCATGTCAGCCCCAAAAAAGTAGGTGTCTAGTGACTTCATCTCATAATCAATGCTCAAAGTAGGTCACACTTAGGATACATTTAAGAACCAGGTGTTTATCTGGCTCATAATCAGTTAACATGTCGACTCAATTCACTAACATAATTCCTTATGTTCAGCTGCATCAGGATACAAAGGTACCTTCAATTAACCGCTGGCAAGGCGGAGTCTGTGGCCTTGAAAGAGACTTTAATTAGTTTTGTACTAAACATTAAGATAGGATAAATACGACTGTTTTGCACAGCTTAACTACAACGGTACTAGGACTCAGAGCTCCCCATGGTCTGTGAGCTCCTGACTTAGTGCTCTTCTGCTGTCACTACTACCCCCCAAAACTTCCTCCAACGCAACAGTTTTCCTTAACTCAGTCTTGGGAGAGAAAACTGACCTGAAAGGGGTTGCTTAGATAGTTCCAGAAGAACAACAAAATCACATTTAAAAAAACACTCCTTGAAAAGACCTGAAATCTGTTGCAAACTCCTACATAATTGCTACTCAGGCGAAATAAGGAGAATCTGGATGCACCTGAAGTACCAGGCTCCGTATCTCAATTTTGCCAAAATGCTTTTTTTCATAAAGTAGAAAATATCTGATACTAAGAAAGATAAGTGCTAATTATCGTTCAAATGACAAAAGAAAAACCATCTTCTCTAATTCAGAGCCCAGAAATAAAATTCTTGTGTATTTTTCACTTAAGAACAAAATTTAATTTTTAAACATTTCCAAATAGCAACAGTGTCTATGACCCAAACTGACACTAATTCACTGACTACCTGTACAGGCTCCATATTACTTTTTGGCCAAAGATTCTTTCTTTCGATGCACAATTTAAATAATAGCAAGTGGTGGTACCCCCTGCACCCCCCGCCCCACCCCGGCCGCTTGCTCCCGCCCCCAGTTATTAAGCAAAAAACGAGAGTGGAACGTGTTGCATAGTGATTACAAGCAAACATCCTGCCCGACCGTGACACTGGGGAGAAAAACCACGGATGCTAACTTTTTTAGACTAACTGTATGGGTCTACTCTTTCGAGATGCCAGAACAGTAAACATGTCACCCTCAGGTTTCACATCCTTGCCCAAAAGGGACCAGGGGCTACCAACCTTCGCCCTTGACCAAAGTCTCGGGCAAAAGTTTCCTTATTGCGACGGTTCCAGAACTCCCTTGCTCAGGAGACGACCAAGAAGGCAGGGAGATGGGAGCAGACCGACCCCATGTGACTTGGGTCACCCACCCAGGGCGGCAAGGCTGGGCAGGCAGCGCCGGGGTGGTGGGTGGGGTGTAGGGATGGGGATGGCTCTCGGGTCTTCCTGCCCCGTCTGGAGGGAAGATAGGAGAGGGCACCCCGCACCCCGGGGCACCCGGCTAGCCTCACTTCCCTCCGGGAGGAAACAAGGCAAGCAGTGGGGTGGGGGGTGCAGGGTGGGGGACCTGCCGTGCCGCCCACCCGGGCGTCAAGAATGAAAGCGGGGCGCCCGAGCGTGCCCAGGACAAGGGCACTCCTGGCAGGCAGAACCAGTACCCGGGGCGCGCCCCCTTCCCGCCCGCCCGTTGGGCCCGGTCCTCTGCCAGGCACAGAGAGAACGAGGGCGGTGCCCGGCCCCAC